CATTTTCTTAGCTAGAAGAACACTGTGTTGCCAGAAGTAAATTGTTCATGCTAAGACAAAGTGGACATTCGCTTTAACTTCGTTTAATGTCAACATCAATTAGCAGTCAGATGCCATGACATTTCTTCCCTTGTATCAATACATACGAACAATTGTGGATACATTCGATTGGAGAATTTCTAGAATCTAGGCACACTCTAGTCAGTCGCCAATCAACAAAAACACATCGACACTGATTCAGATTATTTACTAATCAGAAAAACCATAGACAAACACATGATCAAGAATCAGATCAAAGGGGGATATCACTAAAATAGGGGGTACACCTTACTGACAAGTGCTAAACAGCACGGTCAAGTAGGGCTGTCTTTCGAGTACCTTCAACCACAGCCTTACATCTCAACGTTGTTTACATGATTTCGAGTTACTCAAGTTAGTGGCTACATTGCAACTTGATCGAAATGATTCAATTAGCATTAAGACAGAAAATGGTCACTACTCTGGGATCGATCGATTGTAAACGCAAAATTAAATCTATATATATGGACGGATTGTGTGCTTAATCTAAATTTGGAGCGGTAGAAGTATTATATACTGACGGCCTGGAGCGAACTAATGGAAATTAAAATAACGCCTCATGTAGTTTGCGCTGGATTTGAAATGCAGCGATAGATAACTTGTATGCTATTATTAACAAAGTAGAAATAGGCAGTATATGGTCCTTAAAAAAAATACTTGAAATCACCAAAAACTCCCACTTCGAAACCAAAAAGTGAATTTAATATGGTCATTTAATCAAACTACTAAATGTAACCACTCTCAAAGAAAAGTATTTGTTTCCCATCTCCTAACTTTGGGGAAATACAACCAAAAACCCGAAAATTGCCACCGGAGGGGTTCAGCACATTGTCAGTAATGTTTAGTGATGCTAGCCTTTCTTTCTAATTCTCACTCTAAATCTCAATTATAAGTCAACTGTAGGTTTGTAAACAGAAGAATGAAAGAGCATTGTATTATAGCTGATCTCAGTTGGTGCGGTGGTAACCCTGACTTCATGACACTAGCCCAACATTTATTCGGTGAACTTAGCTTTTTCCTTCCACGAAAACGAATAATTAATCAAATGATAGTTAATAATTTAAATCAAAGCTATTATTCCATTTGTTATGCTCGTCACTAGGTATGCTTGGAACTGTTATGGGTTGACCTTAGTCGATAAATAAGAATGAGACAATGAACCAGCGTCCAGGTAGGCTACTCTGATCCGTTGACCCGAAAGAACTAACGAGAAGTCTTGATATAGCGTAGAAAGTGTATTCTACAAACACCCAGCAAAGATAATGATTTCAAGCACACAAATCGCGTTTATTTATACACCATCCCTGGGAGAATCACAAAAATAGCACACTAAAATAACACATCAACTAATCACAGCCAAGGATTTTCCTGGTGAGAAATATGGTCTGAGGGTCAACGGATCAACCCATGAATAAAACCCAAAATAAAGACATTTATCGAGCGAGTTCTGAGGATCCAACATCCCGAACACCATTGATATTTTATAAGTGTTATAACTGAGTAGTGTTCTCTGATTAGCCGATAGACTGTTTATTCAAGGTCATCAGTAGGTGATAAATTACCTTTAATTATCAATATGATTGCATCAAAATAAATCAATGTGGCAAACAAAAGAATCACATCAGAAAAGATAAACACACACTAACTTGATGATGTTAATCGTGGTGATTCATAGGCAACTACAGCTACATGTGATGAAGCATTGTCGGATTTCCCATGTGAATTCGTTTGAAAATATGAAATTGTACAACGTAGATTATGTACACCTAATTCTTTTAATTCATGACTAATAATTGCATTCAATGATTGGCCTGGTTGTAAATCAAAGACATGATCTTTTTTAGCATGAACTCCAGTAGAAATGTTACTTTGATTTGGATTGGATAATTCAAAATTTGTTGTAGAATTGTATGGTACACCGGTTGTACTAGTAGGTTGACTACTTATAGAAGTGTATATTGGTAAAGTGATTGATTCGATACGATTGTGAAGAGCAACCTAGAAGATTTTTTGATAGAATGAGTAATTAAAACAACAATATATGGTTACATAAATCTGTTGTGGACGTTAGGTAACTAGAAATCACTTGGAAAAGGTCCTAAGTCAGGTCAGTCAGATGCAACTTAGCACTTTGTACATAAGTACATCAGTTCATGTTGCCATACCACATCAGCACAGAGAAGTAATCGTCAATTCAAATCCAATAGTAGAAGAGGCAGTAAGGGAATTAGAAATAATCGGAGAGGTTAGGATTAGAAGATACTACTCAAGAAGTATGATTCAGTGAGAAAAGTTTAGAGAGTCGAAACTAGAGGTATTGAAGAACCCAGAAGATTAGCATTTGAGAGAACACAGAGAATAAATGCACTGGCGCCATTGCGAACGATTTTGAGCCATGTCATTCAAGGTCTCTAACCATCGATTATTATCATCTCGCGGACCCCAACCAGGTAGTCGACAATTACCGACATGGCTCAGTCCACTAGTCAATGACTTCATGGATTTCTGCCATGTTTTGGTTTGGCCGCCCCTAACTTTCTTCCAAACTACTCCTACACTACAAAACAAAGCTCTTCGAGGCAGTCGGTGGTTGGGCATACGCAACACATGTCCCAACCACCTCAACTGGTGAAGTTTCAATACTTCATCGATTGATCTGCCATTCTTACCTAGCACCCGATTCCTAATAACAGCGTTGCTCACTCGGGTGTCCCACGATATACGAGCAATGCTTCGAAGACACCTATGATCGAAAACCAGTAACCTACGAATATCTTCTACTCTCACTGGCCATGTTTCACAGCCATAAAGTAAGACGGAGCGAACTACTGCGCAGTACACTCGTCCTTTAGTCAGCAAACGGATATCTCGCCTACGCCATAAGTGACGCAGGTTGGCAAAAGCCAATCGAGCCTTCTGTATCCGAGCTGAGATTTCGTCAGTCACCAGGCCATCGGCACTGATGAGACTCCCAAGATAAGTGAAGCGGTCTACACGTTCAACCACTTCACTCCCTATCACTAGTTCAGGTGCCAATGCAACCCAGTCTTGAAGCAACATTTTGCATTTCGAGGGGGAAAACCGCATCCCGAACATGCTTGCATTGTTGCTTAGGGTAGTCAGAAGACTCTGCATTTTGTCAGCGTCTTCACCAAGTAGGACAATGTCATCGGCATATTCTAAGTCAATAAGCGAGCCACCTGGAAGAAGGTCTACTCCTGAAAATTCAGACGAGGATAATGTTATGTCTAGGAGCATGACTATGATAAAATTAAACAAGAATGGAGAAAGTGGACATCCCTGACGGACACCACTTGATGTAGAGAATTCCGGTGACAGTTCGCCATAAGCCCTCACCCGACCAGTGGTGTTCGAGTAAAGAGCTTGTATAAGGTTAATGTACTTCTGTGGTACACCTTTCAATGACAGACACTGCCACAGAACCTCACGATCCACAGAGTCAAATGCCGCCTTAAGGTCTAGGAAAACAACTATTGTAGGACGCCTAAATGTGTGTCTATGTTCCAGGACCTGTCTGAGTGTGAAGACGTGGTCTATACAGCCACGTCCAGGTCGAAAACCAGCCTGGTTTTCTCGAGTCTGCTCTTCACGAGCTTTCGTTAAGCGTCGAAGTATTATTGAGGCCAATATTTTAGATACTATATTAGTGAGACTTATTCCTCTGTGATTGTCACAAGAAGACTTTTGTCCTTTCTTATAGATTGAGACAATCAATGATTGAGACCAGTCGGATGGGATTACGTCCAGTTCCCAGATTATAACTAAGATCTCAGTCAATCTAGCTGCTAAAACTGGACCACCATCCCTGAATATCTCAGGGGTCAGTCTATCAGGACCTGCAGCTCGTCCTCGTTTCAGATTTCCTAACGCTTTCTCAACGTCATAAAGACTAGGGGGACTTACGTCGATTTGCCATTCAGGATGACTGGAGATCGTGGGTAACTGAAGAGTGGCTCGTGGCCAGTTGAACTGATCCCTAAAGTGTTCTGCCCATCGATCCAGCCTCCTGGATTGAGAATGGATAATAAGACCATCCTTTTCCGAGATAGTCTCACTCACATTCGGGTTCTTAATACCGGTTTCTTTGATAAGGCGGAAAAGTTGTCTAGTGTTGCCTATCGCCGCTGCCTTTTCCATCGCTTTTGCTTTCGCCACCCACCACTGTTCGCGGTCGTTACGCAGACTTTTTATAAGTCTGCGCCTAAGCTGACTACGCTCTTCATCATGCTCAGAGTCAGGTGGGATGCGTTTTCGAGCATCCATCAGTTCGGTGGATGCGACTGAAATCCACGGCTTCATCCTAGCCTCATGGTTTACCTTCCTAGCAGATATCACTGCTGTTTCCACAGCCTTTTTGATATCATACCAACCTGCTTCTGGATGGGAATCGCTTGCATGGTTGCTTAACTCTCTTTCTAGTTGCTCCTGAAATATTTTCTTGGTTTGATTATCATTAAGTAAAACCCTAAGAGGCTTTCTTACGGTGTCTTTCCTACGTCCAGTAAGCTTCAAACAGATACGAGCTCGCACTAGGGCATGATCTGAATCCAAACATGTGCTCCAGAACGAGCGACAGTCTTCTATCGAACCCCTCCATCGGTGGCTGATGGCGATGTGATCTAGTTGAGTCCAACGTTGAGACGACTTTGGAGGTCGCCAGGTCAACAGATGCTTTTCCTTATGCCTAAAGTTGGTGTTCGCTAAGAATAGGCGGTTATCTGAGCACAGTTGCAACAGACGGTCACCATTGTCTGTTCTCTCAGTCGCTACACCATAACATCCACCAAGATGTCTTTCCTTTTCACCTAGTCTACCTACTTGAGCATTAAAGTCACCAGCCATTATTACTATGTCAGAGCGCTTAGCTTTTTGGAGGAGGTCCGAAAGCTTTCTGTAAAACTCATCTTTAACCTCGTCTGCACTGCAGTCAGTGGGGGCATAGGCAGATATGACGAAGAGGCAACGGCGAGTGTCCCTATCCTTACGAGTCCTTACTGTCCCGTTTAGTCGGACAGCGCACAAACGACTATCTACTGGGATCCAGTCTAGGAGAGATAATTCTGCCCTAGGACTCAACGCTATGCCTACACCAGCAAGACCCCTGGAAGCAGCATCAGGGCTACCGGATACCCGAAGAGTAAATCGAGCTGCTTCTTCGTTTTGACAAGGTGGAATCAGGTTAATGACTTTACTAGGATCCTGTATGCGCGTTTCCGAGACGCAGCATACATCGATGGCACGAGTTTCTAAAGTCCTAGCTAATGATGCCTGTTGCCCTATTTGACACAATGTCCGTACATTAAAAGCTCCAATATGTAGTCTAGAACGGGGTTTCAAGAGACCAGGAACGACGTTTCGTGATCTCGCTTCGTCTGCATTAGCGGTGCAGTGAGAAAAGGGAGTGTGAGTAGAGTTAGTTGTAGAGATAAAAGAGACATTAGGGGGTGTAGGAAGGATTTGATTTTGACCAATTTGGTCTCGCGTGCTGTTATGGGTATGAGGGCGGTTGTCACTTCCCGGCTGCCCACACCGTGGAAGGTTGTTTCTTGAGGGACCTGAAAAGGAAGATGGATTAGTGTTGGTGCGTGACCGCAGAGCCCAAGGGACAACTGCTTGAGGCCGGTCACGCACGGCCTTTTTATGAAAGGTATTTTGAGAATTAGCTCCGTTCTTAAAGGCCCTTAGTGGGCACCCTTACCCAAGGAGACGGAAATCCGTGAGTTAGGGGGAGTGTGACATTTTTAGGGCCGACCTTTTCTAACCCTTCCTTCCTTGTGAGAAGGCAGCATCGCTGCAGATGCTGGTTGTCCGAGGGAAACACCTTACTGCTGTCACACCCCTCTACAGTCAGCAGTACGACTTCGCCCTCAGACCTTGGGTAGCTGCTTTTAGTCTCATCGTTCTCCAATCGACCAGCCTGGCATGGTAGGACCTGCAGGAACATATGTTCCAGCCAGTATAGCTCGGTTGGGTCATCACGATAGGCAAGCCCGACCACCACGTCAAGGTAGCAGCTTACTGGAAAAGGTCCTAATTTTGGATTTTCTATGTTTTCGCGCTAAAGTTGTTCAGCTGACCTTGAGATTACATTTCCCACTAGGAAAATCTTTGACTGTTATTGATTGATGCATTATTTTAGTACGCTATTTTGATGGCTCTCCTAAGGACGTTCCTATCATGTATAAATAAGCTCGATTTGTGTTCTTGGCGATCTAATATATTCTGGGTGCTTGCAGAATACATTCTCTGCGCCTTATCAAGACTTTTTGATGTAGCACCATAGGGGCTTCTGGAGGACTGTTAGGAAGTCGATATCTAGGGTGGAGGAATTCAGTGGATAGACCCGAAGCAGCTGGTCGATCTGGACTCTTCTATCGCGCACGCAACAACAAATGCGTAGTGGCAGAATCAGATCTCAACATATACAATGGGAAAATTAAGATTCTCTGAAACAACACAACATGCACCAAACAGATGTCTTAGGGGATGTAAAAGCCTTTACATAACTGGGTAGCATGATTGATGAGCGAAGTGGATCTGATGCAGATTTGAAGGCATGGATCTGCAAAGCAAGGGCAGTATTTATACAGTGGAACTCAAAACAACTGACAACCACTAACAAACCCACAATTTTCAATACAAATGTCAAAACAGTTCTACTGTATGGGGCGGAAACTTGGAGAACTACGAAGGCCATCATCCAGAAGATACAAGTGTTTACTAATAGCTGTTTGAAGATCCATTGGTCAGACACCTTCAGCAACAACCTACTGTGGGAGAGAACAAACTACACTGCAGCTGGAGAGTATATTCGGAAAAAACATTGGGGGCGGATAGGACATAGATTGTGGGAATTACCCGATTGCGTCACAAGGCAAGCTCTCAATTGGGACGCTCAAAGTCAAAGGAAAAGAGGAAGACAAAAACAAACACTACGCTGAGAAACGGAGGCAACGTGAGAAGAATAAATAAAAAAT